TGAGGTTCAAGTCTTGGACCTGGTGGCTTAAAAACCAGATCAAGATCAATCCAAAAGTGTCAGGACAGAGGATTGGATTGAGAAAGTGTGGCACATATACACTACAGAATACTACTCATCCATAAAGAAAACAATGAGATCCTGGCATTTGATCAAAAGGAGGCAGATAACAAAAATGTAATGCTAATTAAGCAAGCCAGATTGTGAAAAAGAAATATTGAAAGTCCCTGCTTAATATATACCAAATGTCTGCATTCTATGATGGCAACTGAAAGACTAGAAGGTGTAAAGGCATGGAGAGGAACTGTAGATAGCAGAGACTGTGTGGGAGGAGGGTGGACAATAGGGGACTGGAGTGTGAGGGACAGAATCAAGGGGTAAAAAAAGAAAAGCAAAATATTTGAATGAACAAAAAAATGGAAAACTATCTGGTGATGATAATGTCTAAGGCAACATCTTTGACTGGACTAATATACAATGTATACATGATGGAAAAATTCATTATGTATGCTGTAAAGATGTATACTGATTAAATGCAAAAATAAGAAAAAAGGTAAATAAAGTCTTTAAATCTCAAAAAGAAAAAAAAAGCCAGTTGTGTGTGCATGTGTGTGTCCAAAATCTTGAAGAGATCATGACATGATCATACTCCTTGGGGTGCTTTCTCACTTTCTATCATTCTGTCTCTCTTCAGAAAGTGCACTTACTCTACCATAAATTATTGTTTAAAGTATCTATTTAATGTAGTATAAAAAAATTTCTAATCCTTATGTATTTCTTTCATAATATGTATTTTCAGTGAATATTTCAAAGAACCCTGGAATTTGCCTAATTGAATGTGGCCCTGGTTCTGTTTCCTCAGGTCTTAGGTTAGAACTGGTGACCCAGCTTATCCCAGTTCTGGTTCCCTGTCCAGTTCAGTCACCAGCTGTCACCTCACCTGAGGCAGAGTGCCTTCACCCACTTCCCCCTCAGCTTTCTGGGAAACACTGGAGTAAGGCAGAATAGGAGTACAGGTAATTGACCAGGCTTGGAGGGGGTGGGAGTCTCAGGAGAAGTGAACCCTTCCTTGACCAGGCTTGGAGGGGGTGGGAGTCTCAGGAGAAGTGAACCCTTCCTTGACCAGGCTTGGAGGGGGTGGGAGGCTCAGGAGAAGTGAACCCTTCCTTGACCAGGCTTGGAGTGGGTGGGAGTCTCAGGAGAAGTGAACCCTTCCTTGCGGTTTCCTCTGCCCATCCCCATTTTCCTCCACAGGAAAGCTGGTAGGTTTTGTCCCTGCCTATGCAGTTTGTCAGTGCTGGGTGCTAGGGAGCCAGTCTCTGGGCCTCTGCCACCTTGCTCACCTGCCATTAGGAAGTCAGGGACCTCAGAAGTGAGATCAGTGCAGTTCAATAAATGGTTGTCAAAAGAGGACCAGCAGGTGGCATGGTGGTTAAGGTGCTGGACTCTACATGACCAACTCTGTGGCTCAAATCTCAGAACCAGCTTGAAAAACATGCTGGGTGCGTGTGCATGTGTGCTCGTGCATGTGTGCTCAAAATTCTGAGAGGTGAAGGGATTGTGTTGTGGCCGTTCCCTCTGGGGTGACTTCTCATTTACCTCTCTCTGTCTCTCTCTGGCAAGCACACCCTATGGCAAAAGTCTAAAAAATAAATAGATGAAAAGTGTGATAGGGGTTACAGGAGCATATTTTTTTCTCTATTAATGATAGAATATGGACATGCACACATGCGACTGAGAGTCTCATGGGGGAGTACCCGTAGGTGTGGTCACACTGTAGTCCCCTCCATCCAGTCCTTCACTCTGTCAGTTCTTGGGTGTGGGAGCTGGCTTCTCCTGAGCCATACATTGCCACTGCACCACAAAGCATTCTGTACAACACACTGGAGCAGCATCCAACCAACTTGGAACACTGGGGAAACTTCCCACTGCCTGTACTTGACTGGGCCAGACAAGATCATGGAAAATAATTCCAGGTGGGGAGATGGCCTTTTGCACAGTCTCCAAGTCACTGGAATCCTTGGTGTAAGATGAAACTCACCCTAACTCAATGATAACACAACCTGTACTTCAGGCCAATTTTAAGCACCCACAAAGGACACTTATAAAGGAGCCATCACAGTCTTTGCATTTTTCTCAAGCCAGATAGGCTACAGTGCCATGGCAGGCACCAGCCTTGGGGTCAGCGTCCACTCACAGATGTGCTGAGCACCCTGGGAAGCAACCTTTGGGAGGGTCCAGTTAAGGAAGTCCCCACCTGCCAGGCAACTGGCTGCAGGCTAGATCCTCAGAGCACCTTGCACAGAAAAGCAGACTCTTTCTGGCAGCACCCCTCCTATGAGTCTGAAGTGACCAAGGATGGCAAAAAGTGACCAGTGACAGAAAGAGTCTAAGGTTGTGTCTTTATGGTGCCGAAAAACGGGTACAAGGTTAATTTCACACAGTGTGTACACCTTCATTGATGAACCATATCCTGTGTAAACCTACTTAAAAATATCTATCATCCAGCTCTTGAATTTCAAAACATGAACACAATCCCTGGGGACCAAAGGAGAGCATTTTTGGGTAGCCTGATATCACACAGGCACGGTCACACAGGCAAATATCGCCCACTCCAGCTTAGCTCAGAAGGGGAAAAGATGGTGGCCCACCAGAGAAACGTGATGTTCTGTGAGGCAATCCCATGTGGAAATGTTCTGAGTTCAGGCCCAGAGAGCTCCCTGAGAACCTGGGTATGCATATTCCCTTGACCTGGGGCTGAGGGTGGGTTGCACCATTAAGAAGTTATTGGGGGCGCCCTTTGTGGCTATCAGGTTGTACTGCAGAGACCATGGCTCATCCCCTTCCCCACACACCTTTGAACTCTCAGGTGTGTTAACTGGGACTTGGAGAAGCTCTCCTTTTCCCATTCCCTGCACCAATGAGACATTCTCCCCAGAGATGGATCTGGAAGAAGTGGCAAGGAGCTGCAGAAGGACTATGGCTCATCCCCTGCCCCATGCCTCTGAATTCTCAGACTTTAGTGTTTCCTGAAGCACACGTGCCATGCAATCCCTTCTCTCTTCCTCCACTGAAGCTTAGCAGCTCAGTTCCAGGTGCACATGTACTCTAGAAACTAGTAGGACTTTGAATGATCCAAGTCTAGAGATGACAAGGCAGGTTCCTAGGTGAGCATGAGAGAGGTAGAAGAGCAGCGAGATCGCCAATCACCTCCTCCTGCATGCCTTTGAACACTCAGAATTCACGTGAAGACTTTAAAAAGAAACATATAATTTACCTGATGACTAGAAATCATTGCAGAGGTTCAAGAAATATGAAAAATCAAGAAAAGATCTCTCTCCAAGGGAAAACATCAATTCCTCATCATCCACAGACAATACTAAGGAACTCATGGGAATGTCAGATAAACAATGTAGAGTATGTACAGTGACAAAATTATATGTGCAAGAGAAAAGAGACAACAAACTCTGCAAGTTGCAAGAGAAAAGAGTCGATGAGCTCTAGGAGATGAGAAAATCCTTTCACAATTTGAAAGAAGAAATTGCTAGAGATAAAGACTGGAATACAGGAAATCCAATCCTCCTTTCAAATTAAAACAAGATTAGAGACACCAACAGATGGTCTAATGGTTTCACTCCTGGACTCTCATGTGTTTGACTGCGGTTCCAGTCCTGGACCTGATAACTTGAAACTTGTACCAGGCATATGTGCATGCATGCCCAAAATCCCAAGAGGAGACTGGAGGAGAGGGGATTGTAGTGTGGCCTTGGAGGTGATTTCTCACTTTCTGTCTCTGTCTCTCCAGCAAGGACATGTGCTTTATAACAAAAAATCCCTCTTTCTTTTTTTTATGAAGAACAGATTTTATTCTAAAAATAGATCTCAATAACAATGATATACCAAAAGGTGGTCATTATAATAAAAAGGAGAAAAAAGGTAACAGGAGTTTACTTTAATTTTTTTCCTGAAAATACAAAATTATCACTGATATATTGCTAACTTTCATTTATCAGTATTTCAGTTATTCCTTTTGTGGATTATCCATTTTAGAATCATAGACTGGTCTCTGCCTAATATTTTGACATACATCTGGGGTGTTTTTATCTTCAAGTAAATACATTCTCAAGGAATGCAAACAAATTTGGGTATTTGCCTAAGTAAACACAATTAGGAAGATAAATTTATATTTAGGAAACATTCCAAAGTAAAAATTGTTTTAGTTCACTGTTTTCCTCAATTCTTGCAGACAACAACAAAAACTTTACAGGAAGTACTATTATTTGAAAATAACAAATCATACTACTTACAGAGAAAAGATGTAACTGCAGTATCCCAAACCCAAAGCAGAGGAAACTTTCTAAACAAATAGTGAAATTCAGTACTTAAAAAGTGTTTTTCTATCTTCAAAGTGCTAAAGACACAAGTATTCATGAAAAACTTTAGTCCAGTCCACAAAGTTCTGACTGAATTGAAGTACTGAAATATCAACAATGCAGTAGACAAAACTATTTAAATTTATAAGGCACTTATTACTATAAACTATATCTTAACTATATTTTGCAAAAGAATGAAAACAGTGATTGCAAGACCAGTTAGGGCCACATTAGTAACATACACCTCACCCACCAGCCCACATTTCTTTTCGAACAAATCTAAACGTACATCTAAGTAACAAAATTTCCTCCATGTGTTATATACATCCAATCATAACCTTATTTTGAAGGATCTTCATCAACTCAACTGGCCATAATGAACAGCAAGTAGAAATGATCTTTTATATCAAAATCCTTGATATCTGACATTCTCTGCAAATCAGAAGCAGATCACAAAAGTTATATTTTATTCCTATTAATAGTGGACTGTCTTAGCTATCTTTTGGACTTTCAGAAATTAGTGTGATTGGTGTTCCTTGTTGCTCGCTGCAGCACCTGGCGCCCGGGAAGAGCTGGTTGTGAGGGAAACGAACTCGCGGCTCCGGCTTCCGGCTTCCGAGCCTTCAGGTTTGTCGGAGGGAGGGGGTGGCGAGCGAGAAGAATCCGCTGCAGCCGGTCCTCGGCGACTCTCCCGCTGACCTCCGCGCGACGGACCCCGTTCATGGTGGAGTAGATGCTAGTGGAAAGCCCCAGGAAGCTGTCTATGGCCAAAATGATATACACCACAAAGTATTATCTCTGAACTTCAGTGAATGTCATACTAAAATTCGCCATGTGGATGCTCACGCAACATTGAGTGATGGAGTGGTTGTCCAGGTCATGGGCTTGCTGTCTAACAGTGGACAGCCAGAGAGGAAGTTCATGCAAACATTTGTTCTGGCCCCCGAAGGATCTTTTCCAAATAAGTTTTATGTTCACAATGATATGTTTCATTATGAAGATGAAGTGTTTGGTGATTCTGAACCAGAACTTGATGAAGAATCTGAAGATGAAGTAGAAGAGGAACCAGAAGAAAGGCAACCATCTCCTGAACCCGTGCAAGAAAATGCTAACAGTGGTTACTATGAAGCTCACCCTGTGACAAATGGCACAGAGGAGCCCTTAGAAGAGTCCTCTCATGAGCCTGAACCTGAGCCAGAATCTGAAACAAAGACGGAAGAATTGAAACCACAAGTGGAGGAGAAGAACTTAGAAGAGTTAGAGGAGAAGTCCACTACTCCTCCTCCTGCGGAACCTGTTTCTCTGCCACAAGAACCACCAAAGCCAAGAGTTGAATCTAAACCAGAAGTTCAGTCTCAGCCACCTCGTGTGCGTGAACAACAACCTAGAGGACGACCTGATTTCCCTCCCAGAGGACCAAGACCAGGCAGAGGAGATATGGAACAGAATGGTTCTGACAACCGTAGAATAATTCGCTATCCAGACAGTCATCAACTTTTTGTTGGTAACTTGCCACATGATATTGATGAAAATGAACTGAAAGAATTCTTCATGAGTTTTGGAAACGTTGTGGAACTTCACATCAACACCAAGGGTGTTGGGGGGAAACTTCCAAATTTTGGTTTTGTGGTTTTTGATGACTCTGAACCAGTTCAGAGAATCTTAATTGCAAAACCAATTATGTTCCGTGGGGAAGTACATTTAAATGTGGAAGAGAGAAAAACAAGAGCTGCAAGAGAGCGAGAAACCAGAGGTGGTGGTGATGACCGCAGGGATATTAGGCGCAACGATCGCGGTCCTGGTGGCCCACGGGGAATAGTGGGTGGTGGAATGATGCGTGACCGGGATGGAAGAGGAACCCCCCCAAGAGGTGGCATGGCACAGAAACTTGGCTCTGGAAGAAGAACCAGGCAAATGGAAGGCCGCTTCACAGGACAGCGTCGCTGAAGCCCCACTGTTGGCCAAGTCTTGGCAGTGGTACATTATTCATCGTGTTTGCATTCTTGTTAATTTTTTTTGGCTTTGGAATGTGACACAGCCTTTTTTGATCATTTCTTTGATGTGAAAACATCTTTTGGTTATCAGTTAAATGAGGTGGACATTATCTCCCCAATTTTACAACAAGATTCATACTATTCATTTATATATCTAGACTTGGAGAATTAAGGACTGAGAAATGACCATATCTTAAACTACAACAAAATGAACTTTAAAGGACACGCCCACTGAATTCAGGTCCTTTGAGTCAAAAAAAATCCTCTGCTGCACATTTTGTTTAAGTGTTACTGTTTCTGCCTATTAATGTTGGAAACACAAATAGTGCAATTTGTGCAATTGGAGAATCTTGCCTTTTTTTCTTGGCTCCCCCCAAAATACAAACCAACAGAAACTTGTTATGCACTCATCAAAATGCACTAATGGGTACTCTTGAACTCATTCACATTGACACCTGCAACAGGAGGCAACAGGGAAAAAAAATCTTTCATCTTCTTTTCCAGTAGAGAATAGTTTGTGAAATGATGAGGGCATTTCATCTGCTTGCTGTGACCAGCGTGTGTAGACATAAACCTTAACAAGACTACAAACAAGTATATTCCAGAAGGAAATAATTTAGTTACGAACTAAATAACAAAAATCAGAACTTCAAATGCTATGGTCTTAAATAATAGACCACATTTAGTAGCTCCATATCTAAGATGTTTCTACCTGCCCCTCTTCAGTACAGGGATGGCTGGCTGCTCAACACACTCCTCCTCCCCCTTTTCCTTTCTTTAAGCTGTGTACAGTGGAAATTGTCTTTACTGTATTTTTGTTCTCTGGTAATGTAATAAGCATGATGGTGCCTTCTATTAATACATCATTCCAGTCTTGCTGGTAATTTGGTACAGTATAGTGTATGAATTGCTGTGCTGCGAAGCCAAACAGCTACAAATGTTGAAAAATCATTGAAGTGTATAAAAATTGCAGTATCTTTTAAAAATCAGTAAAATGGACAGAATATTATTTATCTTGTTCTTCAGTTAAAGACTTTTGTGTTCTCTGTGGGAGGGAGTCTTGTGTGTTCTAGAGGGAAAGGGAAGGGAGGAAGTCAGTTATTTGAATAAGTCGGTAGTTGACTTTTAGCTTGAATGTGAATATTGAAACGCATCACTTCAGTGCTTAAAAAAGTCAGTCAACTTGATGTACTGTATATTTTTAGTGACATTTTAAAAGCAGTCAGATTCCATAAACGGCAAGTAAACCTGAAGTGAGGATACTGCAATTTTCAGAGAAAAGAACAGCAGCTCTTAGTGTTTGCATTTTCTATTTGGGGGGCAGGGAACTGTCATTCATTCTGCACAATTCTTGAACTGATGTCAGCACCCAAGTGGCTCCTGAATTTAAGTCTGGGACGACATCTTTTATTTTTACATGAATCTCTAAACAATTCTGTGAGCAAAGTTTGTAGCTGCTGGATTATTGTCTGTCTTTATAGCAAATTCCAGTAAACCGCAAATATGGCAAAGGTTATCCAATTTTGTGCTTGGAGCAGTCAGTACATAATAGTATCTGATGTTTCCAACAAGAAGTGGGGTAAATAAGTGTAACCACTCAAAGCTGCTTGTTAGCATGGAAGACTTCTCCATTCTATCTTAGTCAAAACAAACAAAATATGCACTTGACATAGTAGCAGATTGGTTCTGAGATATGTAACTTTGCATTCAATAAGTTTGGCAAATGATGTGCATATTTTGTTTTTCGTGTACTGGGCAATATGAGTAAAATTAAATGTCTTTTCCCCTTGCTCCTCCCTGAATGAGGTCTTCCATGTCTGAGGGAAAGTCTTGCACTATTAACATGTATTTGGGGGACACAGATTTTCAGTTTCCATTTGGGGTCCTAAAGATTTTTTTGTTTGTTTATTTGAAACAGTTTTATAGTTTCTGATGTATAGTACTTGAAGTTCTTATTGGAAAATTACTTTGGAGTTTTGAAGCCTATATTCAGACTACTTTTAATTAAGTAGTTTTATTGTCAGTGTTCCCCTTCCCCCCAGTGTATTTTTCCTCCATTCTTCTATTTCTTTCTCCTTTCTCCTTTATATATATATCTATATATCTATATATCTATATATATTTACATTTCAGGATATTGCCCTGCTACCCATGAAAACTGTTCTGGCACCGAAAGTAATGACAAATGTTACGTATAATAGAACAGTAGAGCAAAGAGCCATTCAGCTTCAGTCTTTACATACCATGAATTAAAACATCATATGGAGAAGTTTACATGGTGATTTGTTCACCTGCAGTACTGTGGACTTTAACATTTTGTCCCCTTTTCAGTGAAACGAAGTAAAAATATTCATCTACCATTACTGTTATTTGCTGGTTTTGTTTTCTGTTTTGATGGTAATACTCTATCCTTATGACACAGTTGCAACCAAATTGGCTTTACCATCTTGGCTTTAGAAGGTATAGAAGACAATGGATTACCATCTTTATTGTTGTAATGTGTTAAGCATTATATGCTAGTAGAATCTAGTTTAATTGTTTCAGGTGGAAAGTATTCTTTGAGTTTCCATTTTGAATGTGTTTGGACTAAACAATAAACTACTGATGTCTGCAGCATTCATCTATGTTCCTAATTTAATCTGTAGCTCTTGCTTTTCATATAACCCTAGTAAAAATAGTAAACAGGGTCTGTAGGTGGTGTGCTGGTTAAGGCACTGAACTCTCATATGGGTGACTGCGGTTCAAGTCCTGGACTTGATAGCTTGAAACTCCTGTGTGCATGCCTGCCCAAGATCCCAAAAGAATGGAGGAGAAGGGATTGTGGGCTGGCCATCTCCTTGTGGGGAGATTTCTCACTTTCTATCTGTATTTCTGACAAGTGCACACACCGTATAGCAAAAACCTTTCTCTAGTTAAAAAAAATAAATAAACAGTTCTAGAAACCAACTGTTTGTGAAAATTTATGTTTAAAAATGTAGAATATTGTTAGGTATTTAAAAATGTAGAACATTGTTAGGGATTTGTACCAGTCTAGTTAGACAGCTGGTATGCAGAGTTAATGTTAGCACAATACCCAAGTAAGGAAGCAGGAAAATTCCTGTCTTTTTTTGAGAACTTTTTTTGCTATAGGGCGCATGCGCTCACCAGAAAGACAAAGAGAGACAGAAAGCGAGAAATCACCTCCCAGGGGAGATGGCCACACCACAATCCCTTCTCCTCCATTCTCCTCTCGGGATCTTGGGCACGCATGCACACGCGCCCAGCGTGAGTTTTAAGCCACTGGATCTGGGACTCAAACCACGGTCGACAGCATGGGAGTCCAGCGACATAGCCATTACACTAACTGCAGGTCCTGAAAATTCCTGTCTTTGAAAAAAAAAAGTACTCTTAAAATTTTATAAGAATTTATTTCAAAATAAACTTGTTTTTTAGTATAAAAATGCTATTTCCTCAAATCTCTGAGTAAATTGACAGTGTGTGAAAATGTAGCGTTTTCATCCTGCAGCTGGTGGGAGCCTGGGCGAAGACCCACCATTCTTGGCATGATGAACACAGCACCAATCTATGATTTGATTCATTCCTGTCTTTGAAAAAAAAAAGTACTCTTAAAATTTTATAAGAATTTATTTCAAAATAAACTTGTTTTTTAGTATAAAAATGCTATTTCCTCAAATCTCTGAGTAAATTGACAGTGTGTGAAAATGTAGCGTTTTCATCCTGCAGCTGGTGGGAGCCTGGGCGAAGACCCACCATTCTTGGCATGATGAACACAGCACCAATCTATGATTTGATTCTATCGTGTTCTAAATGTTTTGGAAATCCTACAAGGGGGTTTTTATTTTAAGCTAGATGTGTTTCACTCCATTAAAAATGTCTAAAAAGCAGCTCTACATTTAAAATATTCACTAGATACAAAATAAAAATTAACAAGTGACTATGAAATAAAAGTAATTTCCAGTGGTGACAACATTGTCACAGTAGGAAATAATCTAACTCCTTGGAGTATTTTCCTTCTTAATCCTAACAACTAAATCTTTAAAACATTATGCCAAGCCTCACACCAGCCAGCCAAGCCTCACACCATCAGGCCAAGCCTCACACCATCAGGCCAAGCCTCACGCCAGCGAGCCAAAACTCATGCCAGCAGGCCGAGACTCACACCAGCAGGTGAAGACTCAAGCCAGTAGGCAAAGCTTAACACCAGCAGGCTAACCATCATACCAGGAGGACAAGGCTCATGCCACCCTGACAAGCCCCACTCCACCAGGATAAGCCTGAAAACAGCAGGCTAAGATTCATACCAGCAGGCTAAGCCTCACTTCACCAGGCTGAGCCTAACACCAGTAGGCCGAGCCTCAAACAACAGGCTGAGCCTCATGCCACCAGGCTGAGACGCACACCAGGAGGCCAAGCCTCAAGCCAGTAGTCCACACCAAAAACAAGCAGACCGGGTCTCACACCAGCAGGCTGAGCCTCAAACGACAGGTCGAGAAGCACATCGAAAGGCCGAGACTCACGCCACCAGGTCATCCTCATGCCAGCAGGCCAAGCCTCAGAACAGCAGGTGAAGCATCACACCATGAGGCCAAGCCTCATACCACAGGGCCAAACCTCACAACACCAGGCCAAGCCAAAGCAGAGGAAGCTTTCTGAACAAATAGTGAAATTCAGTACTTAAAAAGTATTTTTCTATCTTCAAAGTGCTAAAGACACAAGTATTCATGAAAAACTTTAGTCCAGTCCACAAAGTTCTGACTGAATTGAAGTACTGCAATACCAAGAATGCAGGAGACAAAACGATTTAAATTTATAAGGCCCTCATTACTATAACTATATCTTAACTACATTTTGCAAAAGAATGAAAACAGTGATTGCAAGACCAGTTAGGGCCACATTAGTAACATACACCTCACCCATCAGCCCACATTTCTTTTCAAACAAATCTAAATGTACATCTAAGTAACAAAATTTCCTCTAAGTACATCTAAGTAACACACATCCAATCAGAACCTTATTTTGGAGGATCCTTAACATCCATCTTCATCAACTCAACTGGCCGTAATGAACAGCAAGTAGAAATGATCTTTTATATCAAAATCCTTGATATCTGACATTCTCTGCAAACCAGAAGCTGATCACAAAACTTATATTTTATTCCTATTAATTGTGGGCTATCTTAGCTCACTTTTGGGCTTTCAGAAATTAGTGTGATTTACTTTGATCCTCAAACATAGAAATATTATCTCACTATTGAGTCTAAATACTTTTTGTTAAAACCTGACCCTGAGTTTTGAGTGCAAGAATATCAATTGCCAAACTGAAAACACTCCAGAATAGACTAGCTAATATTGGTGCTTCTACAATACTGTGTGGTTACTCTCCATTCACATAATGCATCTGAAAGTACTTCCCCCTGAGCAGTGGGGTAAAAAGAGCGGTCTGGAGCATACCCAAATAAGGAAGCAGGAAAATTCCTGCTTTTTTTTTTTTTTAAAGTACTCTTAAAACTTTATAAGAATTTATTTCAAAATAAACT